ATTTGTGGCAGTCGGGTGACTGGTTTTTCCATCATGACAATGCCCCTGCTCACACAGCCCTGTCTGTACCACAATTCTTGACCAAAAATGGTATGACTCCTGTTCCTCACCCTCCATACTCACCCGACCTTGCCCCGTGTGACTTTTTTTTTTGTTTCCTCGAATGAAAAGAGACATGAGAGGAAAAAACGACGGAGGCACTGTCAAGCATCTCAAAAGATGAATTTAGACAATGTTTTGAAAAATGGAATAAAAGACTAGACAAGTGTATTAGTGTAAGTGGAGAGTACTTTGAAGGGGATTCAAGGTTTGTGCTTAAAATTTGATAAATAAGTTTAAAAAAAATAAGTTCGGTTTCTTTTGGGTACCCCCTCATACATTCAAGAACTGAGAGAAGGAGTTCTTCCACGAATTCAAAATGTTGTGGGAATCTGCAGTCTGCAATCCAAACCTGAAGCAGAGCTGGAAGGAAGTAAATGGCTTGCTATATCTACCATTTTTTTTTTCCATGCTTTGCATATTCTTTTGCTTTGAAGATGGAAGCAGCAAGCTCCTTTGAAATGTTGGTAAGGATTTACCAGGCTGTATGGCATGACATTCCAGAAGACAGTAGTCTGTAGTCACTGTCAGGAAAACCTTGAATCTCACATTGTAATCTGTTGCAGAATTCTCCTTGTCCCAAACTGAAACCTTGGCAGTTAAGAGGTTTAAAACTCCTGCAGGTGATACAAGGTTGCTAAATTAACTATGTCAGTTGCCTGTATCGGTCATGGAAAGGTACTGTGTGTTTTTTAGGAGTGGAACATAACAAGGAAGTAGGAAATGTATTTTGGCACTTTCATAGATACATTCTCATTCTCTATATACTATAATTTTATACAGAGTTGGGCACAGAAACTTCCTTTTTGTGAAGACGCATTGTGAAGGGAAGGGAGGTCGCAGAAAAGTGGGGATAGGCTTGGCGAACGCAGCAGTCGCGGAAGTTTCTGTCTAATACCCCTCAGTAGGAAACATGAGGTGGACTAGTGAGCAGCGTGCGTCGAAGCCTATTTTTCGAAGAACCATTGCTACGTGGCAGTGCAGCGTGCGTTCCATACTCACTTTGTAATTAAGCCCAGAGGTCCGGTTCCCGACTGGTAATCAATTGTTTTGTGGGTAGAGAACTTTAGGACAACCAGAAGTGTGGTGAAAAAATCATCAGGATGACAACGGACTGTTATGATGCCAGAAAATGTGGAGGCAGTTCGACAGTTGATTTTGAGATCTCCAAGATGCTCTGCTTGCAAACGTGCAGTCGCCCTAGACATATCCAATCGTTCAATGTGCCGAATTCTTCACGAACATCTTCATTTCCATCCCTATAAAATTGTTATTGTGCAAGAATTGTCACCACATGATTTCCAGAACCGAATAACGGTGTGCGAAACGTTATTGGAAACTTTACCCCCTGATGCACTTGTTTTCTTTAGTGATGAGGCACATTTTCACCTATCCTGATATGTCAACAAGCAGAATATCCACTATTGGAGTTGTAACACTCCCAGAGAGTGCCATGAGAGTGATAAGGTGACAGTATGGTGTACGTTGTCGAGAGTTGGAGTTATTGGCCCTTATCTTTTTGAAGAAGACAATCATGCAGTTACTGTCAATTCACAGCGGTATGTGGACATGATTAAAAACTTTTTCGAACCAGCTCTTGAAGAAATGCATCTAGGAAATGTCTGGTTCCAACAGGATGGTGCCATGGCCCACATAGCCAGAGCTTCGATGACAGTTTTGAGGGCAAAGTTCCCCAGACGGCTCATCTTGCTTCGAGGTGACATCCCGTGTGCAGCACACTCACCTGATCTAACGCCCTTTGATTTTTTTATGGGGATACCTCAAGGCAGAGGTTTTGAAACATTGCCCCACAAACCTGCTTCAGCTGAAGAATGTTATTTGGCAGGAAGTAGCCCAGATTCCAGTGCACATGTTGGAACGTGCAGAGGGGAGCTTCAGAAAACGGTTGCATCAGTGCATAGGGAACGGTGGCCACCACCTTCAAGATATTTTGTTTAAAACTACATGATTTAAAACTTTAAAGTGTATTCTTTCATTAGCTAAACATGAATTTTGTTTATCAGCAATAAGTTTTCTTGTATTCGCCTTCAAAAAAAGGAAGTTTCTGCACCCCACCCTGTAGTATATGTGCTTTAGAAGTGGTGGGAAATTATGTAAGAATGGGTCAGGGCATGTTCCTTCCGCAGTTCATTCACAATCATCATACTGTTTTAAACTGCATGATCTGTTGAGCTGAAAAAGCTTCTGTCTGTATTAAGGAGGTTTTAATACTTCTGCCCTACTGGCTGTTGCATAGTGCTAGTGTTTTCTGGGTCACATAGTGGAGACTGTAGGAACTACTTGTATTTTGTGTTCTCATACACAGTGTGTTGTATATTTTGACAGTTCTTACATGGTACTCAAGACATTTCTTATTATTCTATGTGCTGGAGGTTTTTACAAAAAGAGTACAATTGGTCCTTAGTATACAATGCTCAACTTAAAACGTCCATGTCTATGAACAGCATAAGAACTCTTTCCTGTAAAAAATAATTACATTTCTTAATGGCAGAATAGTGAATTCACTGTGAATATAGAAACACTGAACTGAGGCTCACTAACTTGTATTGCAGGTGAATGTGGTTCAAGGTTAGCAGCTGCTGTGAAATGCTCACTCATTGGGATCATGGACTTGTATACATTCGAGTTTTGCTTTGTGATTTCTCATTTATTTCAGGTGTTGGCTGTTTATAGCTCTTAAAATGGCTGAGAAAAGAAAAAGTGATAGAGTTATCAGATCCTAACAGAAGAAGAGAGCAGTTAATTTGACATTATAGTGGCTGTAGTAAATAGCCTGAAAGAGATGAAACTCTGCTCTGCATTGGTAGTGCTTTTGGCCTTAATGACTATTGGAACAGTTATTTAGGAATTTTTGGAACAAGTAGATGCTTCTACACCAATGCAGTAAGCAGAAAGTGATAAAGATAGAAATGCTGTTGAGAAAATTGAAATTTTTGTAATGTGGGTGAGGATCGAAATCAAATGCACTTTCCTCAAAGTCTAAGCCTTGTTTAAAAGGGATATATGAGCCTGTATGATTGTTCAAAACCAACTGGTTTTGGAGATGATGCCAAGGCTTTCTAAGCAGGTTGTGGGTTGTTTATACAGTTTAGATATAAATCTGACCTTCATAACAGAAATCTGAAAGGTGAAGCAGCTAGAGCTGATGAAAAAGCAGCAGCATATTATATTGTAACAGTTGACAGAATTGTGAATGAAGGGGTATACACTACTTATCTTACTTTCAACATTGATTTATGGATAAAAATGCCTGAAAGAACCTACATTTCCAAATGTGAAAGATGCATGCATGACCTTACACAGCTGTTATGGACCACGTGTCCCTTTTACTGGGTGTTAATGCAGCATTGCATTTCAACTCACACCACTGCTTGTTTCTTATTTGAGAACCTTGGTGTATCCAAAAATATAAATAAAGGATCTTAACAGTGAGTTTGTTATAAAATAAAAATGCTTGATTGAGCATTTTTGAGAGACTGGTTCTTCAGTCACTTGTGCCTTGATGTGAAGCTTAATTATGGAAAGAAAGGGATTCCTTGTATAATTTTGCTATTGCTTGGTAGTGCTCCTGTACATCCACATCCACAACATTTAAATGATTTTTATCCTGCTGTTAAAACTGTGTATCTTCCTCCAAACACAACTTGTTTACCATAACCCATGGATCAGAGTGTCATTTGCTCATTTAAAGTCCTCTACACTTCTAGGACCATCTGTCAACAGGTGAAGTCCACAGAAGACGATATGGTCAAAGTCCTCAAGTTCACTTACAATTTAATCCTAGATACTGGATGTAGGTGCCATAAAGTGAAGAGTTTAACATTGAATTCTGCGTGGAAATAGTGCATGCACCTTTTGTCATTGATATAGGAAAGCAGTTGAGTCTAGAATTGGAGGAGGATGATATTACTGAATTGGTGAATCCTCATGGTGAGGCTGTAACAAATGACGATTTAATTATGTCTGATTGTGAGAAGGAGAGAGCTGTAGATGAAGAAGCTGCAGAGGAAGTGCATAAGACTCCAAAAGAAAAGAAATTCAGCCCCAAATTATTGGCAGAAGCATTCGGCAAAACTGATGATGTACTTGAGCTCTTTGAAAGGCAAGATACAACAGCTCAAAATATGCCTCAGTCTCAAGAGTCATAAAAGATGTTATTTCATGCCGTAAAGAAGGCGGCTGTACAGAATTCCTCACTGCCTATTTCAGAAGATATAAAGGCAGTGAACCAATGCCATCCACTCAGCTCTTCCATCCACTTCTGTTGAGCCATCCACCTTGGTTAGGCAAGATGCTTGATAGGTCCCCTGAGAAGAATTAATTCCACTCATCCCTTTCTTATTAAAACCATCCATCAGAGTGATTTCCTTGAATTAACACATAATCAACGGCCAGGATAAATAAATTGTAACTGTTCATTTTATTCTAATTTATTTCATTTTTTTATGCTTATTTGTCTGTGGATGTGTAATGTGTACTTTAATAAAGTAAAGTACATGCCGTATTATTGGTTAAAAAGGTTTTGTTTGTAAGCTTAGGTATTCAGCTACTGTTAATTACATTATGATATTGCTTATTTGAGAAATTATTTTGATTTAAGAATGACTTGGCTTATAAATGGTACTGTGGAAACTCATTTGTAAGTCAAGGATAAAGTGTACTGTTAAATCTGTGAAGTTGACTGCATTTTCAGAGGGTCAGCAAAATCATATTGTCATGTGCAAGAGTGTGACTATCGATAGAATTTTGGATTGGATATTGGATTTATTGACCACTTACAGGTCATAACAACAAATAAGGATAACACTACTGCTAATTTACACACTTTACAAATCACTATAGCAAACACACTAAGTCTTTTCCAGCCCCCAGTGTCTTCACTAGTAATTGCCTTGTAATGGCTCCAACAGTGGTTTGCTTTGCTTTCATGCTCAAGTCCTCTCTGAATGGCAGCTCTCTTCCAACTGCCTATTCTAGCTCCAGTTCTCCTTATAACCCCTTGGCACGGAGCAACATAGAAAACGTCATTTCCGACAGTACCTCAACTGTTGTGCATTGACTGTTGCCATGGAAACGTGTGTGTCTGTGATCGTTGCCTAGAAACGGCTCTGGTATATTTGTTTTATCTCACTGTTGTCGTATAGTAATGGCTCTACACACTACAATATTAATTTATGCATAGCAATCATCTCTAATATGGTGACATATCTGCCTTGTATCTTGTCTGCTTTCTAGCATATGGTACTGGGGTTCTGAATGTGTATTATCCTTTTTATATTGATCACACAAAAAATTACTCATTTTTTGTGCCAGTCTGTACAAATGAAACCCTCTCTTCTCATTTCTTCTTGTATATACCTGATAAACACAGTTTCTTCCCTTTCTTTGTCACTGATAGGCAATGAAATTCTCATATATGGGTGCAGTATACTCATCTGTCAGTGACCTTTGTGCTGTTTTGAAGCCAGTAGTTCTTAGCTAGCAGTCTCTGTAAAGGAAAGGATTTTTGGGTTTTCCAAACAGTGTCCAGTCACATAGCTCCATGTGTGTCCATGGTCATATTATGTCATTCTTTCTCTGGGAGTCTGTGCACAGTTCTATGTAGTAGGAAATCTAAATATGTTAATTAGTAAAATTATGCTTTGGGCTTTAAGTGAAAGAAGTTAAATGAGTTAAACATTAAGCATAGAAAAGAAGTTCCTGACTTGATAGATGACAGTGTTAGCCAGTTAGCAATTCCTTGTTTACTTGCTGAACTTTCTCGACCCTGAAGAAGGAGGCAGTATGTTCTTCTGGAATGTTGGTAAACTTCTGCCATACTACACGGCCTCACACCCCAGAAGATAGTACTCTTAATTGCTCAACAGTTTTATGTGGCAACAGGAGCATGAACAGAAGAACGATTCTGATGGCTTGGGAAGATAACTGCAGTAGCAGAAAAAAGCAGATGTTACATAAACTATGCAATGGATCTGCCAGTATTCTTGTTCTGTAATGTCTCCAGAAATGTAATGAAAGGGGCATTTATTTACTTGTGCAATAGTATGTAGTCACTGTAGTAAAAAAATGTTAAATTTTAACTATACTTTCTGTAATTTGGTCATCTGCTTAAGTTTACCACATTTGAATTGAACCATAAGCTGCCAGTGGAAAGATTTAACTATAATTTGTTAACAGTGGAGCAGCTGAAGGCTGACGAGAAGGGAGTGCACAAATTTCCCTGCACTTGTTTGCATGCAAAAGCACATGAGTATGCTTTGTGGTCAACCCCAGTAATTAAACAGAACAAGAAACACATTTTGTTTAGAGCATTAATTAACCATTATTAAAGAAATTTCCCAGTGGAACAGTATGTTATCACTAATTTAATGTGCAGGAAGATATATGAACAAAGCATAAGACGGTATATGATATCGCAACTGATCATTGAAGTGAAAAATTTAATATTATATTCAGAACAGTAAAATATAACTAGCATGTCGTTTTGATTCACATTATACAAGTATTTGAATAGTTTTTCAAGGATTGGGAATATTTTAATTTTATATTAAATTTATCATATGCATACATTTTAAATATTTGCACAAACTTCTTTTAGTTGTGTTAGTGTTAGGGTTTCCATGGTAGTGGATATTAAGACCACATGCTTCTGGTATGTGATGCAATATAGTGTGGTAAGTAAGTTCAGTGCCACATGCCAGAAGTCCATAATCTTAATACTCATTGCTGTGAGGACCTCAAATCTCACACAAATAAAAAAAAGAAAATGTCCAAACATTGGTGCCTACTTACCATACTACATGGCGTCACATCCCAGAAAGCCATAATCTTTATTGCTTTTAATTCTTTGTTACATTCTGCATACATCTTGTGACTGTGGTAAAGAGAGCAAAATGAAAATGACAAAATTCCAGTTTGGTCTTGCAGAAGTACTGGAAATAAAGATAACAGGGTTTGAATACATAATGATTTAAATTGTGGATTACTTAGCAACACAGGGGATCACTTTATGATGTTTCCATAATACAAACATAAGGCTTGTTATATTCTTACAGGGAGAAGTTGCCCATCAGTATCCTCGCTTGCATGTTGACTTCCCCATCATTCTTCACCAGGTCTGAGTATTGGATTTCAGCCTCTGTGAGGTGTGTTTTAATGTCTTATGTATTCTGCCTTTCCACTGCATTGTAAATATACACACTATAACTGCAGGACCACACAATACAGCCATTTGTTTGACTCATTTTTTCCTTTTACATTTAGCTTTACTTTTACTTATACAGCCTGTTTATCCACAAGTAAGGAAACATAAGTGTTCTGTTAAAATAAGAAATTGCTACTGTATGTCATTACTTATATAAATATAATATTAGGAGGCAGTATGATGGTTTATGACCTTTAGCATACTTTAACATTTGTTATTTGTGATTAGTAAATTAATAATCTCAGATTCTTTTCAGTGCATGTGTTCTACATATGCATAACAATATGTCAGTAAAATTTGATGATGCATAATGTGGAATGTAAATTTTTTCTGGCATTTCAAAACATTAATAAGTAAATGCAGTTTGGCTGTGTCAGTGAAATTATGTTTTAAACATGAGTACTTGGCTTCATAAATTACATTAAAGTTTTGAAAAGTTCAGGGATACCAGGAATGGAATAGAAGTTAATGGCAGCAGATGAATAGGTGAACAGATTTATTTACTTGCTAAGTGAAATAGAAATAGAAACACAGGTATTAATAGAAGAATACAAAATAGTTCAGAGTTTTAACAAATTAATGGAGAGATCTCAAAACAGTGCAAAACAATCTATATGTTTTAAATATGTACTAACATATAATGCAAAAACATGGACCCTTACAGAGAGAAGTAAGAGAAAAATCCAAGCAGTGAACCTGAAATTTTTTTGGATACATTGTGATAAAAAACAAGGAGGGATACAATTGGAAACTTTTAAAGAAGAAGTAGCATTCAGAATTTGTTAAAAGAGTTATAAGAGAATATGATTGCAGTGTTTGTAAGCAGACAGGATAGAACAGGGATATTGAGGACATGAGAATTCAATTTTAAAGGAAAGAGAATATGAGATGATCAAAAACAAGATGTTTTGGAATAGGTAATGGATGACATTAAAATGGGAGGAAAGATTGTTGAGAAGAAAGAGGAGATTGAAATTTTTTTGTCCATTGACCTGTGTAAAACATACAATGCTCAAAGGAGGAGGAGGATGAACAGTGTAGTTTAATGGGGGGCGGGGTGGCTGAATATAATGTTAGTGTGATTCCATGTATGCTTTACAGTGCATCATCAATTGTTACTACATTGCTTGCTGTATAAAAAGGAAATAAATATCTGTAATTACATATCATGTTAATCACTAGAAACTGTGGAGTTTTATTTATAAGTACCTATCAGACATCAGAGAGACATGAATAAATAATATTCCCAGCTTTTGTCCTTTGAAAACAAAGGTGTTACATTATTCAGCACTTCTCTGTACATCAACAAATTTAGCACATTGTCTATTTACATTTCTGCAGATAATTTTTATATTAACCAGGAGTGGTAGACTTGTATAGATTTGCAGCCTTTGTCACTATTTTCATATGTTTATTAAGTAGTGCAGGTAGGATTCTGTAGGATTAAATTTTTCCAAATTCTCATCTTGATCTTGTCTGAAACTGAGAAAATTATTTCTTATATGCCTACTTGGTAGTATTACTGTTACCAGCATCTTGGTGTAGTGACTCAAGTGTTAATAGTACTTTCTATCGGACTGGAAGTGTTAATCTAAGGTTAGTGCTGCAGGCAATGCAAGGCTGTTACTTGAAGTTTAGTACACCTACAAGAGAACATTGCCTTTGGAGTAATATGTATTAAAT